CCTCCCCCCCCCAGCTGGCTTTGGGAGCATCCATGGGTGCGACTGAGCTCTGCCCTATCTGCAGGGGGCACAGCTCAGCAGTGTCCAGGGCATGGATCAGGCACGGTGCAGCAGCAGCCAGGGCCAGCGCTGACACAGAGAGAGAGCACGCATATGTGTGTGTGCATTTGTTTGTGTGCCTGCCTGCTGGTGTGTATCTGTACATCTCGCTGTGTCGATGTGTGTCTGTACACGTGTGCGTCTGTGTTGGTGTGCACACACATCTGCACATGCGTGCGTGCATCTGTGCTTGTATCTGTGCGGGTGACAGTGCCCAACTGCATGTCCCTGTGTGTCGCTGCATGTGGCTATGCAAGTCTGTGTTCACGTGTGCATCTGTGTTTCCATGCATTTCCATGTGCATGCCTGTGTCTACACACGCATGTGGGCATGCATGTTTAGTGTGTATGCTTGTGTGTTTCCATGCATGCCTGTGTATATGTCCCTTCCATGTGTGTTAATACACATAAGCAACCGGTCATACGTGCGCATGTTCACGTGTGTCGCTGTGCTCGTGCGCATGCCCATTAGTCTGTACCTGAGCCCTTGCGCCTTGTGCCTCTGCAGGTGGTTGCGTGTGCATGCCTGTGTCTGCCCGTGCTGCTGCACAGCCATGCACGCCTGCCCACTTGCGTGTGACAGGACACTAGACCTCTCCAGCGATGCTGGTGCCCATTGAGCCACGGCACATCCAGGGACCGCATCCTGCAGGGAGCAGGGGCTCCGCAGGCCTGAGCAAACCCCACAGCTGGCCCGGCTCTGTGCTGCGAGTGTGGCTTTCCCTGGCACAGGCTGAGAGGTGGCACGGTCCCAACCACCACCACGTGCACGCACTTGTCACATAGGGGACAACAACCTGGGCTCAGCTGGACTGCTTTATTGAGGGGGGCAGCTTGGTACAAGCCCCGAGGAAAGGGACGGGCTGTGCCAAGGACTGCACTGCCCTGGCACCGCCTGCGGGTGCACGGGGCTGCCGGTGCTGGTGCAGCCTTCCCCCACTCTTACCCATCATGCAGGGTGAGCAGGCGGGCAGTTTCCCATGCTCGGGCCGGGGTGCAGCAGCAGGGTGAGTGGACAGGCGCGTGGACACCGGGTGCTGCATCACGTGAGTCTGATGGCTCCCAGGTCCCAAACTGCCGGCTGGACGCGGGACACCGGGGGCGCGTGTCCCTGAGCCGGGCCCCGCTCTGACTGCCAGACACCGCTGCCAGCACAGACTCGCAGCAAGCGGCCTCGGGTTTCTGCAGGTCCCAGCGGTCATGGGGCGTCCCCGAGCCCTAGAAGAGCCTCTTCTTGCGGGAGTCCGCAAAGGAGATAGAGTTACGCGGCGTGGCCGAGGGCAGCACCGGGGGCATTTCCATGCCTGGCAGGGCTCCAGTGCCTTCGCCCCCCTGCTCCTCCACTGCCACGGCCCCGTCCTCCTCCGGCCACTCTACATCCAGGACGTTCCCTTCAGCCATCACTGCCTTCTCCTCCTCCGGCTTGGGTCCAAAAGCCCAGTCTGCAAGAGCAGAGACGGAGCCATAAGCCGGCTGGGCACTGGGATTTCCTGCCCAAATGCCCCGGCCACCGGGCTGCCTCTATGGCAAGGAGCCCCCTTCCTGCAAGCTGCCAGCTCCCCCACGCTGGCACCAGGGCAGCAAGTGCCCAGGGGCTGAGACTGCCTGGGAAACAACCACCCACAACCCAACCATGCAGAAACAGATCTTTTCTGCAATAATTCTGATGGAAAAATCACCTACAAGCTATGCTCTACCTCCCCGTCCTGCTTGCCTGTCTCCATCGCCTCACAGCATGTCTGGGACAGGCCGTGAAAGGCTCCATGTTTGGGGAAACCCCACCACCACCACCACTACAGTCCCATAAGGAGCCAGAAAGCTCCACCCTGCTCCGGCCCCACATCCTAGGAAGTCCCGGCCCTCCGTGCACTCACCAGCGAAGTCGTGCACCAGATCCTTGATGAGGTGCCCCACGATGGCATATGCCACCACCAGCACAAGGACAGCCGCCATCACCAGGTAGAGGACATAGCGGGGCAGCCGGATGCTGTCCAGGGCTGGGGGCTTGTAGTCGACGTACAGCACCCCGTCCTCTTCAGGGGGGGACTGCAGTAGGTGCCGCGGCCCCAGGGCTCCCTCCATACCAGGGAGCAGGGTCCCATTGCCCGCCACGGTGCCCCCTGCAAGGGCCATTGCCAGCTGCCCCCACACCCCAGCCCAGAGCCACCGATGCCTCCGCCGTGCCGGGGGTCACAGGGAAGAAGTGGCATTGGGGTCCCAGGGGTTCCTCTGTGCCCGCAGGAAGAGAGCCGCTGCCTCACACTACCAGCACGGCCGGCCAGGTCGCCATGCCCGATGGCAGGGTGACTCCCTGCTCCGTGCGATGGGGAGCCGCTCGCCGGCCTCCCTCCACTGCAAAAGGACAGAGCAGCCGAAGGAAAGAGCTTAGCGCCTGTTAATCCGGGCACAGCCCAGGCAGGCTCAGCCTGGGGGGTGGTGAGCGCTCGCTTGGGGGATGGCTTGGGGCCCCTAAAATCCACCCCGGGGCAGTGCTGCAGGCATCTCTGTCCCCCTCCAAGCCGGGAAATAGCAGTGGCCAGAGGGCCCCCAAGTGCAGGGACGGGGAGGGATGCCTGGAGCCCTGCTGAAGGTGGCGCACAGGCATGCTCCCCCCAAGCCTAGCTAAATCCTTCACCAGTTCCTGAATCCCCAGAGCAGATGGTGTGAAATCCAGGCAGTGACACCCTGCCATCCACTCTGAAGGACACCAATCGCCCTCTGATCTGGGGCCGGGGATCCCACAGGTCAAAGGGACGGGCGCTGTGGTCCTGGGATAGGGTGCTTCTTGCAGAGCCCACTGTATTGCATGGGCTTCAGACAGAGCAAAGCAACCCAGCTGCAACCCGCAGCAAGGGGCTGGGCATCTTCCCAGAGTTATTTTCACCTGCTGGGTGCAGCATCTCTGCGCCTAGCATTCTCCCCATACCATGAGGATCCAAGGGATGCAGAGGCCAGACACCACCCAAACATGATACCCTCAGCACTGGGGCTTGATGTTCAAGTGGCTGCAGGGCTCAGGGCTGGGCATGGATCAGCCTCCAACCCCCAGGGCCTGCCTTGATGCCCACCATCTCCAGGCTTGGGGCTCCAGGCTGACTCAGTCCTATTCCCTCCTCCTCCACTAGCTGCCCAAATGACCTTGTGAAAAAAAAAAAATCCCTTCCCAGGGTGGGTTTGCCAGGGAGGGATTAAGGTGTTGGTGTAGAGCTACTGGGTATGGTGCCAAGGCAGGGCTCGGTGCCTGGGCCCTCCTACACCGCAGGCCAGGGCCAGGCCCTAGCACACATGCCGGCTCTGCTGCGCCCAGGCCTCCCCCAGCCAGATCGTGGCCGCAAAAATGCCAGTTTCATTCCAGTGCGGACTTAAAAGGAGTTTGAAGGACTGGAGGGTTTCTGCAGTTGGGGGGAAGCAGAGGCGAACCTCACAGCAGAGAGATCTGGGAACACTCTGCTTGGTCTGAATGAATCTCAGACGGAAATGCAGGCATGTGGAAGTGCTGGAGAACAGGAGAGAGCAAGGGTTAGAGCAGCCTGCTGTGATAACTAGGGACAAACAAGCTGGTAAACACCGACAAACTCATTCACAGCACGCCCGAAGGCCCATGCTCTGATAAGGCCCCAGCACAGACCCAGCAGCAGCCTTTCACCGATAACATGGCAACAGGGAAATGGCACCTCCCATGGCCCTGCTGCATCCCCATGGCCCATGGGAGGAGAGAGACAGGCACAGAGACAGCCAAAACCAAGGAGATGCCAGCAGGGTTGCTGCCTATCATCCACGAGCTACAGAGGATGAAGGAAGCAAGATAATAAGCCTCCTAATAGCTGCAAGCTCCTAAAGGGTGTGAAAGCATTAGTTCATTGCCAGAAGCCCAGAGGAACCAAGGACGGACAGCTGGTGGCCCTTCTCCTTCATGTCACACACAAGCAACCCTGGCCACAGCACTCAGGCACGTGTCTGGGTTCTTGAAGGGAGGAATAGGTGACTAAAACCATTGCGTCTCCAGTAAAACTCCCTTCCATAGGGTCCTGCACTAGGCCAGAGTGGGACCTGGGCTGGGGCTCTCCCCTTCATCCAGGTGCCAGAGCTCTGGGGACACTGCAGCAGCTTTAAGGACTAAGAAGATTGAGCCTGTGAGAGAGTGACTCATAAAGTGACTTCGGCCAAGGGAAAAGCACCTGTAAGCAAGAAGCAGGCAGCTGCTCCCTGCTTGGCTCAGCCACTCCCCCAGGAGCACGCAGCACCGGGGCATGGGCAGCAAGCCCCAGCAGGATCAGCTGCAGGTGCCCCCTGTGGGCGCTGCCTGTGTGGCTCTCCCTGCTGGGCAGTGCTGTTGGGGACTCCCAGGGCATTGAGCCACGAGCCATCCCTTGGGCAACGTCTGCCCCGTGGGCTGGCTGGGGCCAGGCGTTGTGGGGAGAGCGTTTCTGATCCTGGGCCATCAGGGTCCCCCCTGTGCTCTTCCCCATGGCAGCAGCCCCAGGGAGTGCCAGCCTGGTCCCAACCCTGCAGTGTTGGGTACACACCCAGCCAGGCAGGGCAAAATCACAGCTCGACTCACGCAGCAGTGCACAAGGCCAGCACTTTATTTCCTCCCAGCCCCACACACGTCCACGCTGTGGCAGCCCAGGGTATTTGGGCGCTGGGTGACGGCAGGAGACATCAGCCTCAGCCCTGCCAGGTCTGGCTAAACACAGGGGAAGTCCAGAGGTGCCCTGCAGAAAGAACAAACGTGGCCAAATCTTCCAGACTTTGCCATGAAACAATCTCCAACCCAGGGCAAAGGCTGCTGCAAGCACAGAAGCCTGCCCTGACAGGAGAGGCCAAACCCACACCAGCTCCTCCACCATCCCAGCAGCTGTGATGGCAAGGAGGGATCCGGCTCTGCACCAACACCAGGAGCAATTTCTAGACATTGCATAGCTACAACCCACGAGACTGACAGCCTGAAGCCAACCCTGGCCCCTCCAGAAAAGCTAAAGCAAAGTAAGCAGAGCCTTCTCGCACCAAGCTGCCATGGCAGGGCAGTCCCAGAGCAGCCCCAGGCCCCATACAGCTATGATAGGCTCCAACACGCAGAGAAGAGCCCACCCAGCCCCAGCCCCAAGATGAGCTGCAGGCAGGCGATGCTGATCCTGCCAGCAAAGAAGAAGGGAGGCAGGCCCAGGAAACAGCGGGCAAGTAGCAGCTCAGCCTGGATTTGGATGAAGAAACAGGCTATAATATTGCCAGAGAGCAAAAGCCGGTTCCTCCTTCATCTATGCAGAGCAGGGCACAGATCTGGCCTCGTAGGCCCTGTGTGTCGATAGAGGCGGCTACATAGGACAGGGAAAGCAGGCCCGGGTGAAGGAGGCAGCTCACCCCAGCCAGTGCTCCCTGAGCGAGGGCTCAGGCAGAGGCTTGCAGCTTGCAGAGCCCATCCGCATACTGGAACTGGGAGCCGTTCTCATACTCGTACATGTCCAACGCCACCTCGCAGCTCTCCCGCACCACCTGCTCCTCGTCATGGGCAAAGGCTCGCAGAGTCTCCAGGCAGGACGCCCGGGCGATGGAGCCCAGGGCCTCGGCACACTCGTGGCGCACCATGGGGCTCTCGGCACAGCTCCGCAGCGTGGCCGTCAGCTGTGGGACGCAGGCCTCGTGCTGCATCTGGCCCAGCACGTAGCCGATCTCGTGGCGGAAGAGGGCGCTGCCGCATTGCAGACCTGCGGGGAGGAGGCAAGAGTGAGCCGCTGCTGACCCCAAAGCATGATGGGATACTTGATGAGACCCTCCCCACCCAGGAGGGGCCACGACTGGGTCAGGGGCTTGGCTGCTCAGTGGCAAGTTGGCCTAGTGGTTAGAGTAAGTGCTCACCACACCCAACCCATCAGGGACTTGGGGAAGGGGACAAAGCACCTATGGGGAGTGCTGTCTCCCAGGGTGTCCATCCCACGTTGCTCCCACAAACCACGGCCCCAGCCAGACACCCTGACCTCACAGGGTCCAGCAGCCCTGATCATCTAGAGTGGTCGCATGCACCTGCAGCAGTGCCCCATGGCAGTGCAGGCGAGTGACGCCCCCTCGTGACTATGGCAAGGCACAGTACCATACCTGCCCGCCCAGCAGGCGCCTTCACAGCAGGGCTGCAAGCACCTTCGCTCACCCCAGGGTGTCTGTGCTGCCCATGGGCCACGTCCTACCAGATTAAGGTGCCTGGAGCAGACTGGAAGCACAGCCATAGCCTGAGCCCTCATGCACTGCAGAGAAACCCCTGCGGGATCCCTGTGGGATCGAGAAGTCATGGCACAAGCTCATGGATGGTTGCACACCTCATCTCACACCACAGACAAGCCCTTGACCTGCACTGGATGGCTGGTGAGCTTCATCCACTTCCCTAGGGCTGATGGAGGCAACAAAGGGGTTCTGGGCTGTGCTCTGCCCCTTTCCCACTCAGATGTTCACCCAAGATCTTTTAACTTCCCAAAAAAGGGCACCCTTTATGATGCTGCTCTTTTGCCATGGCAAACAGGCAGTGGAAGGACAGCTCTAGAAATAGCAACGTGAGGAACCTACCTGGAGCCGTGTGGCTCTGGCAGCCCTGGATTTGGGAAGAGCCAACCCTGGTTTGAGTTGTATAGACTTACAGCAAGGAGAGAACAGGCAGCCCCAGGCTGGCCCTTACCATCAGCCAGTGCCAGCACTGCCTCCTGGCCCCCCAGGTTTCGCAGGGCAAACATGGCCCTGTAGCGGTCGAACAGAGTGCGCGACTCGTCCAGGAGGGTTTCGCGGAGTTCCACAATGTCCGTCTCCTCAGCAGGGGGGGCGGGATCCACCGACAGGTAGGGGCTGACGCCTGGCTTCTCCTTGTTCTCCTGAAGCCACTCCAGCCTCTTCACAGCCAGTTGACACGTCTCTGCCACCTGCAGGGACAGAGACATGACCCTGGCTGCAAGACAGACCATGAAGTGCTCCCGGCACGTGCCCAGGGCTTCCCTACTACAGCCAGGCTGTGCAGATCAGACATCCTGCCAAGCACTCAGCTTCACCTCTTTGTCATGTGGCTCTGACAGCAACCACGTGCTGCTGATCCAGGATGCTCCCAACTGAAGGACATGATGCTGGCTGCTGGCACACAGCAAGACGCAGCTCATGATGCTACTCAGGACCGACTTCTCCCAGTATAGTCAAGTTCCTTGGCCAAAGGCCACCCAGGAGGGACCTATCTCAACACCAGCATGTTACCCCATGGGAAACAAGCCCCCAGAGAGCCTCACCTCAACCACAGGATCTTCCGAATAGTGTTTCAGGATATCCAGCACATCAGGATTCCCAATAGCACCCAAGGCTTCACCTTAAGGAAGGACATGTCAGCACATTACTAAGATATCTAAGGAAGTGAGGTGCCCCTCCTCACTTACAGGCACTGGGTGAAGAGGACCCTACTGCATCCTCTGGTTGGGCCTCACCCTGCTCTGAAGTAGTGACATGGACAGATCTTAAATGGCACAGCCATGCAAATAAGCATGGTAGGAGGCACCTTGGCCAGCAGCAGGGGGAAGGCTTGGTCAATCGGTCTGGCTAGAGGATGGGAGGAGGTAGGTATGCACTTTAGGGTTTTCCAAGCCATGATGCTGAAAAGGAAACAAACTGTATTTCAACAGAGGCTCCATGGTACCTCCCAGCTCCTTCTCGGGTCCAGCTCAGTGATGGGGAATATCCCAGCAGAGATGGCCAGCATGTAGCCAAGGCAGGCTGGATCGGGCCGCACAGAGCCATCACAAGCTGCTCAATACTTGAGGAAGCACCCACAGCTCCACTCACAGGCTGGGTCCCTTCCCTGCACCCACAGGGGCAGCCTGAAAGTATGCGAACCCTGAGCCATCATACCTGCCTCATGCCTGACCATGGGCTCCTGGTGGGTGTCCTGCAGCACTTGGACCAGCACAGGGATGGCCGCTTCATCCTGCATCTGCCCCAGGCAGTACGCCAGCTCATGCTTCAGCAGGGCAGAGCTGTCTCCAAAGGCTCGGCTGATCCAGTCCACAGCCACGCGGCCACCCAGGTTGCGCAGCGTGAAGAGCGCCCGGAAGCGCGCTGGCAGGGGCTGCGCTGCATCCACCAGTGTCTGGCCAATAGCCTCCAGCTCTTTCTCTGTCACCATGATCCTGGCAGCAGCAGGGAGCAGCAAGGTTGCATGAAGTCCTCCGGCAGGACTCTCTTCCAGTAGGACTCTCCTCCAGTCACACTCTGCGGCCAGCTGTGCAAAGGGAAGAGGGTCAGAAGTGCCCACAGAGGGACCAGGGCACAGCCAGGGATGGTCTCCAGGCATGGAGGCATCTCCAGCGCCCAGCAGGGTCCCCCACCTTGGGGTGGGGGACAAGAGAAGAGGTCCGGTTCGACCCCAGCCCTGCTGAGCCTCATGCTTGCAGCAGCTCCCCGGGCCCCTCGCCGGTGGAGCCACCAGACTGGGGCCAAGCGGGGTGTCCGTGGGGAGAGGCCGAACCCCAGCCCGGTGCAGGTCAGCTGGACAGAACCGCACCTCCGGCACCGGACAGGATCGGATCCCGCGGGAAGGGACTGAGTAGAGCCATGCTGGATTCAACCACGCCCGAGGGACAGGACGGGACGGGATGGGACCGGGACAAGACCGAACCAGGCCCAGCTCAACCGGGTCCCAGGAGCAAACCACCTCCCCGTGCCGGGACGCGCTGAACCGAACCCGACCCCTTCCAGCCGGACCCCCCGGCCGGGCCGGGCCGGGCCGGGCCGGGCCAGAGCGGACCGCGCAACATGGCCGGG